TGGCTGTCGGGTGACCAGGCACAAACCGCGCCTTGGGGCAGCGGCTAATGTCCTGACATTGTAAACCGCCGCTTGGGGAGGCGGTTTGTAATGCCGACAATTAAACGCTCCCTCTTGAAGCATTTTGTGGTAGGGTTAGCCTATAACCGCGCCTTCCAGAAGCGTTTTGTTCTGGAAATTAAAAATGCTGCCTGGAGGAGCGGTTATAATGTAAATGCTTCCTGAGGCGCGGTTTTATTAAAAACCGCTCATTAGAGGCGTGGTTTTATATAAACGATGGTATTTTTGGAAATTATTTGGTGTGGGTGGTATTTTTGTAAATTGTTTTTTAAACAGTGGTAGTTTTGGATTTTTTCCGAGATTTTGTGGGTTCATACTGTGTGTTTGCTTCATAATGTTTGGTTGATAATAATGGACTTTGAGCTCTTCTGGGTTTCAGCTTTGGTTGTCTAAACAGGGAATGGATCAGGTCAGTAACCTTATGGTGAGTAACCATGAGTAACCTGTCCACATCAGCATGACATCAGCATCCCTCTCTCTGCTGGAAAACCTTTAATTTTCACCGGCGGATCCAGGGGGTGGCCACCCCAGGCCCCGGCCCAGCCCTCCTCTGGATCCGGTGTTAGTATAGTCTTTATGAATTTTTCGATTTTAGACATTCGACCCCGTGTTATTTTATAATAAGATTGGGTATAATTAGAAAAATGATTTCGATAAAAAAAAATCTAGATTTAGCCTAGAAATTTTAGCCCTAAAGATTATTCGTATAAAAAAACAATGAAACCTAAAAGTCTAAAACGTAAAAGACTAAAAGATATCTGAGGTTTGTTTCCTTGAAAATTTAGTAATTTACTAGAGCAGCTAGTGTATATAGGGATGGACACACAATGCAAATTGATTAGTTGATTGATTTGTCTAGTGTTGACGCTGCTAGTTCCAACAGCTACTACAGAGAGAACCTTTTCAACAATGAAACATGTGAAAACTGATTTGCGCGATAAAATAAGCGATGAATTTTTCGCCGATTGCTCAAGTATTTTATTTGAAACAGTATATACTATTGGTATGGATGTGGACTCCATTATTGATGCATTTGCTAAATTAAAATACCGTTGTGTACAATTGACATTGTAAAAAAACCTATAGTCATTATTTTTTTACGGTTCTAATTTTCTAATGAAATACGGCCCAGTGCTCTTCTGTGTTCTGGATCCGTCGCTGATTTTCTCCTCCTTAATCTTTGATGGACGATTTCTCACTCATTTTAAGTCGAAATTAAAAAATTTTTTGCGCAGTTAGATCAGATTAATTATGCTCTTCAAAATGATATCCACTTTGATATATTTTTCGAACAAAAAAATTGAGTCATTTTATACCAGTCTATACCATATGGTATTGACTGGTATTGAAATAAGAGCATACCTATGGTTTGAAAAGCGTACCATGGTGGTATGAACAAACCAAGACTGTAGGATGGTTGAATACATGATAGTAGAAGTGTATTAACTGTCATTTACGACTTTTAACATTGTATACCATAATATACCACCCGGTACCAGGGTGGTATTGCGTGGTATTGTGTGGTATTTTTTGGTCCTGTAATTTGTTCACCCAGAAATTTGTAGATCAAATAGATCATGATGAACTCGTCCCTTCTATGCAAAAGTTTTTAAAAACGAATTAAAAACGAAGAAAATACCATATGGTATGCAGTTGGTACCGAGAGGTAAGAATTTTTTTTCTCAAAAAATATTGAAAATAGATCTCAATTTGTAGAGCACGATGAACTCGTTCCATATGTGCAAAAAAAATTAAAATCCCAGTTAAAATGAAGAAGATATGAGCCGATTAATAAAACTAGAGTAAATAAAAATGACCTTTAATTCTCCATCCTTAGATCTGGATTTTCTAATAATTATCCAGATTTAGTTATTGATGGGTGCATAACCCATGGTTATGCACCCTATCTTGAGCCCTAAACAGGGAATCTAACTTTGTGCAAGCAGCAATTTGGATGATTCTGCTGCTCTGCTTTGGTAGGTATGTCAGTTTTGATATGCTTCAACTCCTTTGCCTTCATTGTTTTTCGACAGCGCATTCTTGTTTAAATCTATACTAGTTTTTTGGCCCGCACTTCATAGCATTAAGAAACTAAATTATATTTAAAATTTGATCTACTCGTTTAATCATTTAGTTGAAATCAAATAACTCACAAAATATTTCAGCTAAGATAGTTCGTAAGCTTTACATATTTTTTAATCATTATGAAAAACTTACGTAATACGTTCATTTAATTGATACTTAAGATTTACTATATCTTCATATTTTTTATGCAATATATCTATAATTTACGTAACAATTTTAGAAACGGTGTTACATAAATCTTATGGTTTGTGATATAATGATAAAAGTTACAGAAAAGTATCACATTTTATCAGAAGCGGACCTAGGTTGGTTGTCAATTGACAAACCTTAATCCACTTTTGGGACAAAATACATTTGCAGAATTGTATTGTAGTGATGGTAGTATTTGAACTTAAAACTATATGACACTTCTTATGATTTTCTGTTATAGTTCAATACCTTTGAGGTACTTTCTCCGTCTGCCACTATATTTAAATAAACTATTATGTAAAATTTAACATAGCTTAAACAACCTTTGTGTAATACAAATTGATGAGATTTTTGTTATAAGCTTGAAAATTAATGGGATTTAATTATTGTGAGTAATAATAATGAAATTTTTAGTTAATAATAAAAAATTTAATGTACAAAAGTATCATATTTGATTAAAAAATTAAATACTAACTTTACAGAACCTATATGTAACATGGTCAATAATTTACTTGATTGTAAAATAATTGTCATTTAAAATTATATTACGGGATACTTTTACAATACATTTGTATCACGTTTTGTTTAACTTATCCAAAAGAAATAACTATCTATCCATGTGTTTTTATATGTAGTGTAGCAATCATTACGAAAAAAACTTACATAATATATTATTATTCAATTGGTACATAATAAATAACTATCCATCCAATCTATAAATTTTACATTATTGATTTTATAATTTAAGTAATTTTTATAGAATGATATTATAAAATATTACGTAATGTATGTCTATGGTCTAATAATAAAATTAAGTTATAAAATGTATCTCATAATAAATAATATCCATCCAATCTGTAAGGTTTACATTATTGATTTTATAATTTAAGTAGTTTTTATAGAATGATATTATAAAAATCTTACGTAATGTATGTCTATAATAAAATTAATAAAATTAAGTTCATTTAAGTAATTTTTATAGAATGATATTATAAAAATCTTACATAATGTATGTATATGGTCTAATAATAATAATAAAATTAAGTTATAAAATGTATCTCATAAGTTATGCTCTTATCCAAAATTACCACTGTGTGGTGTTATTCTAATTTCTAACATTTTCAAAAAATTAAGTTCTAAAATGTATCTCATAAGTTATGCTCTTATCCAAAATGAGATCTATTTTCAAAAAATATTGAAAATAGATCTCATTTTGTAGAGAACGATGAACTCGTTCCATTTGTGCAAAAAAAAATTAAAATCCCAGTTAAAATGAAGAAGTTATGAGCCGATTAATAAAACTAGAGTAAATAAAAAAGACCTTTAATTCTCCATTTTTAGATCTGGATTTTCTAAATAAATGATCCATATTTAGTTATTGATGGGTGCATAACCCATCAATAACAGGGAATCTAACTTTGGCAGGTATGTCAGTTTTGATATGCTTCAACTCCTTTGCCTTCATTTTTTTTCGACAGCGCATTCTTGTTTAAAGCTATATTAGATAATAGACGTGGGGGTCAAAGAGAATTATATGAGTTAAATCGAATCATAATGGAAAATGAATTATGTGTGTTCTCCTCTCCCCTTCACCACCAAATTTACAGTTATTTCTTGTCGACCTTGTATTTTTGGTTGCCGTGTACTTATTTCTATCTATCAGGTTGGGTGATGGGTGAGGTATTGAAGAATAGAGGAAGAAGGATGGGATAGAAAGGGAAAACGTAGGTGCAGCCAGCCCAGCAGATGGACATGGGTTAGTCAAAAGCAAATCGATAAAATTCTGGAACTCAGCCAAAGAGAAAAAAATCCTCCAGCACAAAGTAGCATTGGTATTAGGCTATTAGCTAGCTATGAAGAGTAGTAGGGTTTTTTGCTTTGTACATATTCAATAAATGATTTCCCTTTTCTGCCACTGTAGCTACTCATCTCCATTTCACTCCATGTACGGTAATTTATGAAATCATTAATTCATATCCACATTGGAAGTAGGAGCCACTCTTGTTTCATTCACTCTCTTCCATTCCATTGTGTTCTTTTTGTAGATTGTAAAAGCTTTTCTGGGTATGTAGTGTGATTAAAAATGGCAATGATGATGATGATGAAAAGCAGAGTAAGTTGTAGTTGTAGTTGTAAGGAGGCCGTCGGAAAGTGGCATAGGGAGTATTACCATATCGTCATGCCTTTTGATCCAAGTAAGTTGCTTTGCTTTTCCCACTTTCTTTCTAACCTCTCACTCTGATTGTATTGGTTTTGGGGTATGTATCTCTCTGGATTCCGAAACCAGCCTGTTTTGTCCCTACTCCCTCCCCCACCATTTTCATGAATAATGAATATGGTGGCACTGGAAAATCCCCAAATGCCCCCTTCCCCTTTATTTTTTGATTTTGGGTATTTCGTATTTTGCGTCTGTCAGCTTCATATCAGTCTTTCTCTGTCAGATGGATTTCTGTGATATGCCCCTCCTTCACCCTTTTTGCCCTCCCCTTTCTCTCTCTCTTTGTCTGTCTTTCTTGGCCTTCATCTTGTAGTTTCACTCGCTCTCAGTCTCCGGCCCATGTGCCCCCTCTTCATATTAGAGTTAGAGCGAGTGGAGGTAGAAACGCCTAGTCCCTACCTCCAAATCTCCCTTTATATATTCCAACCTTTCTTCCTCTCTTCCTCATCATTCTCGGTCACACCAACCAACCCCCACAAATATTTCTTTACTCTCACTCATTCCTTTTGAGCCCCCCAAAGACAAAGCCAAAGCTACAGCTCTTTTTGTTTGCTTTCCCCCACCACTCACTCTTCCTAGCTGCTTGTGCTATCCAATCCCAGCACACACACAAACAACACAACCAAACAAGAGCAGCAGCCAAAACGAAAAAGAGAAGATGGAACACGAGATGATGAACGGCGGGAATAATGTTGATAGCAATAATAACAACAACAGCAGCAACGTAGTGAAAGGAAGCTTCCTGTGCAGGCAAAGCAGCAGCCGGTGGACGCCCACGACGGACCAGATAAGGATCCTCAAGGAGCTCTACTACAACGATGGAGTTCGGTCCCCGAGCGCGGAGCAGATACAGAGGATCTCCGCCGACCTCCGCAGGTACGGCAAGATCGAAGGAAAGAATGTCTTCTACTGGTTCCAGAACCACAAAGCCCGCGAGCGACAGAAGAAGCGCTTCACCAACCAACCTGCCTCTGCCATCGCCACCCATCATCCAAACACCCGCGCCGCCGGTATATATATATTTCGATCTGCACTTCCTATATTCAAAATGAGTCTTTCTTTTTTTCTTTTTTTTTTTTCTCCCCCGGCCTCTTCCTCCTTTATTCTTAAGTAATTCCTCATCTTCTTCGGCTGCAGCAGTTCAGCCTTCAAGTACTGGAGCTCTGGGGCATGGGGGCGGCTATGGAGGATATGCCTCTCTCACCATGGAGAAGAGCTTTGGAGTGAGTACTTCTGCCCCTCAAATATCAATGATTATCTTTTTATTTTTTTTTCCTTTTTCACAATATATATATATATATATTGGTGATGCTTTTTGGATCTTGTTTTATGGCGTTACCGAAAATGGCAAGAAAACAACATGCCAGTTAGAAAGAAAGGCTGAATAACTACTTTCTCGATCCCTAGCTCATCCCGTCCGCCAAGCCCATGTGTGGCTGGCTAGCGTTTGGGATCGATAGCATATACATACATGGAGCAAACCAAGTAACGATGATGATTCAATGTTTGTTGTTGTACATAACAGAACGTAGCTAAGCGCTGGGAAAGATATACAGACAGACAGGCCTAGCTACCAACCAAGTAAATAATCGAAAATTAGTCATGTCTTTCTCACTTTAGGGACTGAATATATACGAGGAGTACTATTCATCCTCCGCAGAAAGGCTATGAACCTCAACCTTGTTTTCGGATCTCGATCATTTCCCACTCTCAGATATAACAACAAGGCAAATGATATTTGTTTTTATTTTTGTCTTTTTTTTTTTTTTTCACACCACCCGTTTCTCCTTGTCTTCCCCAAAATAAGATGGGTAGTCTAGCTCTAGTCCACAAACAAGGAAAAAAACACACATTCACTAACTCATTCATCCCTTTTGTCTGTGTTTGGTTAATGATGGTGATCAGGACTGTTCAATCTCATCAGCTGGAGGTAATTGCAACAAAGTTGGCGGTGGGCAGTACAGCTATGGAGGATGGGGTACCAACAACAGCTCTTTCTTTGACAAGAGGAAATCATCATCATCATCATCCTTCATTCATCACCATGGCGCCCTAGAGGAAGATGAGGATCACCAACAAGAGATTGAGACGCTGCCTCTCTTCCCTACTCACCGCGAGGACCTCATCAATGGCCCATCACCCTACGCCAGCTGGTACGCCGCCTCCGATCATTGCCACGACGCCGCCGCCACCAACTCCTTTGCTTCACTTGAGCTCACCCTCAACTCCTTCACCTCCCACTCTTCTTCTAATATGTTCTAAAACTGCTACTGCTGCACTGCACTGCATGCTCCCTTGGGACACGCGCGTAACTTTATTCACATCATATATATATATTCTCCTTCCTGCCTACGGAGTACGGCTTAGGCTTACTAATCTTGTCATCATGGGCTTCTCTTCTCTTCTTACCTATAATATAATTATTATTATTAATAATAATGTTAATAGTCGTGTGTTAACCAAACCAACCGACCGTGCTATATATATATATATATATGTATTGATTAATTAATGTTACTATCTAGGCCCCTTACACGTGTCCATCTGGGATTAATATTTCTGTGGGTATCCGAGAGTTTGTGATATATATTGGCCGCCCCACCCATATTAATGGAATTAACCTCGGATTCTGCGACATATCCTCAATTAACGACGCATCGAAAAACAGATCCATTAGTTATTTAGTTTGTTTGACACCACATACGCTCTTCTTTATAATTTATGTACTTACTTACTGCATGTACAAATGATTTTGTTCTTTTCCCTTGCTTTGCTCAAAAGTTGCTTCCTTCTTCTTCCATCCACTTCGACACCAACAAGGGAGGGAATGATGACCGAGAAGGATCAATCCCAAAAGTGGAATCTTTGATTTCTCTTGGGAATGACGAAAGAAAAAATTATATCTCTTATAAGTATGTCCCAACACTATTCAAATCGTACTATGCAAAAAAAAAAAAACTATTCAAATCCTATCTAAGAGTATAAAATGAGTGGATTGATAATATTTATACAAAACACGTGACTTGTTCGTACACTAGAAGTATTCATGTATTAATACACTTCGCGTGTACTCACATGTGTTGCAAATACGCTTGCAACATTATATGAATATATCTTTGTTAAAAAAAAATTGAAATTATGTGGCCAAAGTACATTGATATTGGTCTTTTTTTCATAGATAGAGGTTTGAGCTAGATAGTTACAATGCATTAAACAACCAAATCGGCAACCCTGTTTACCTGAAATGAGTAAAGTACCAGAGATAATATAAAAAATTGAAATTGCAACCTAAATTTCATCCAGAGTCGCTCCACCCAATCCATATGCCACCTCCATCTCCTGCACTCGTCGAATCAAGGCTTGACAATCGCCACAAAAGGTCACAACAAGATAACAACGTATTCTGAAGCTATGACCATCAAGCAAATGATTGAGGACTATGGTGGCATGACAGGACAAATGATCAACAATGATAAATCGGCGATCACCTTTAGCAAGAACACCCCTGAGGACATCACGACACTGATTGTTGACTATCTCAATATACCTCTGTCAGGTGGAACGGGGAAATACCTTGGAGTGCCCACAGAGGGGTAGATCCAAAAAGGATGTTTTTGTAGGTTTTGTTCAACGTATGGAAAATCTGGTTCAAGCATGGAAGAGCCTTGCTCTCTCCCAAGCTGGGAAGGAGATCCTCCTTAAATCGGTTTACCAAAGTTACCCGACCTACGTGATGTCCTGCTTTCTGCTCCCCAAAAGAACCACTAACATCATGGATTCTAGACTCAAGAGCTTCTTCTTGGTAGGAAGTTTAGGGAAAGGAACGATCCATTGGAGAAAGGGAAGTGTCCTTACAGCTTCCAAACAAGAAGGAGGCATGGGATTGAAGGACTTCCATAAGTTCAACCTTGCTTTGCTTGCCAAACAAGGATGGAGAATCCTGAATGGGGGTGACGAAACTTGGGTCAAGCTTCTTAAAGGTCTTTACTTCCCTAATGTGAACTTCATGGATGTAGGAAAAAGAAGGAAGCCCTCGTGGATCTGGTCTAGTATCTGGGAAGCTAGGAAGATACTCATGTCGGGGGCTCGAAAGAATATGGGCAATGGAAGGGATATCATCCTTGAGAAAGACCCTTGGATCCCTAGCATTCCAGGGTTTCGACTTCATAACAACCAACGACTCTAACTTAAGGCTTCGGATTGGGTCAGGAATGATAGTAATGAATGGAACCTGGACCTTATTGAGCAATCTTGCCATCCTAAGGAAGTCAAAGCAATCAAAAGGATACGAATCGGTACGAATGACATGGAAGACACGTGGGTCTGGCACATGGAAAAATCAGGAGCCTTCACTGTTAAATCGGCTTACCACACAACTAGGATTGATGAAAGAACTAGAACAAGCTCGGCAGACCCAAACCCCCGATTGCTCATCCAAAGCTTGGAAATGGTTATGGAGACTTTCATTGCCACCAAAAATTCTGAACTTCATCTAGAGAATCACAAGGAATGCCTTGGCGACAAAGGGAAACCTCTGCTTCCGAAAGGTCATACAATCCCCATGCTGCACTGTATGTTAGGCTGACTCTGAAGACATTTGGCACTGCTTCTTTGGATGCCAGCACGCCCGTTCCACCTGGGATTCCAACTTCCCATCGCTGCAGCTCCCTCCCACTTCAATGCCTTTGATGATGTGGTTATTCCACCTGCATGAAGCATCCCCTTCTTACTCTGTCATGGCTATTGCTGCGAACCTCTGGGCAATCTGGAATGCTAGGAACGAGTTTGTTTTCAAAGGGGCCAGACCCACTCTCCAGACTACTACAACGAAGGCTGTCAACCACTTCACTGATTGGAACGGTATTCCCCCGTCCCCAAGGATCGTCTCTACCCAACCCCCTCCACCCCGTTCTAACCTTGATCCACCGCCTGGTTTCTTCCAATTAAAGATTAACTGTGATGGAGCTTTTGCCTCGGAATCACAGTTGGCGGCTTATGGCGTTGTCGTTCGTGACGGCCATGGACAAGTGATTGATAGAAAGGCTGGCACCTTTTCTTGTTCAATATCGATGGTGGCGGAAGCTAAAGCCCTATTGACTGCTCTCCAAATTGCCGATTCTTCAGGAATGTCTGCATTGGTTTACTCCGACTGCCAAGTTCTCACAAATGCTCTCCTTAGGCAAGGGACTACTTGGCCATGGCATGTCAAAGCTTGGCTTCATTGTATGCGACATATCCTATCCTCAAATGATGGAATCAAGGTGTGCTTCACTCCACGAAGCAACAACAAAAGCGCAGATTGGTTGGCCAGAGAATCAGCGAGAGGAACTCTTCCTACTCAATGGATCCATATTTTTGATTTAATCTCACCTCTTCTGTAATAGGCCCAGCTTGTACCAACATCGATTATGAATGAAATGCAACTTATTGTAAAAAAAATAATAACAACGCATTAGACACCAATATAGACAGATAGTACATCACTTAAATCCAGTATTCCATCAGACTTGGATAAAAAAATACCTACATAGTGTTTGACAAAAACAAACAATAGTGTCTCATTTGGGAGAAACCCGCAAAGCCAATCCCACCACCACATTCCCTTCGCCAAACTCCATTACTTCACTCAAGATCACCCGACGTTACAAGTATGCTTTAGACTCCATTCCTTCACAACTTTTTTTTTTCATAGATAATATAGACAGAAGTTACAGATAATAAACAGAAATATGATAGTCACTGCTAAGTGAACTATCAATTCAAAAGCCTTTACATCCCTTCACAACCTTGTCCATTCATATCCTTCATAAGTAATTTTTATTTGTTAGATTTCAAATCTTGCTCATCCTCCCATACTTGTCTGAATATCGTATTAAAAGAGTTCCAATTTGTATAAAAATCATAAGAAAATTTTATAATATTATATATGTCAAGAACTTAATATATGATTTTTTTTATAGAAAACTTAAGAAATGATCATTCAAGGATGACGCCTGTGGATATTCTCTAATTTGTACTTGTTGGGGGTGTTTAGATGGGAGAAACTTACGGTGCGATAAGGAGCCCGATACCGGTGGCAAGTCCTAAGAAAGCCCAAGAAGAAGCCCAAGGTGAAGCGGGGCCCACCTAAAGAGGCCCAAGGGCATGCGAAGGATGGTCAGTTGAACAAGTCCGAGGCCCGTCTGATCATGACCGAAAAGGCGCATTGATCGGGGCTCCTAAAGAAATGATGACGAGGATTGTTGCTCACTAGGCGCCTGGCGCATGTCACAGTTGAGAGCGGCAAGACCAGGCGCCTAGGACGAGTGAAACGCTAAATATGATGATGATGTGGAAACCCGTACAGTAAGGCAAAGATGAACGATGAACAGTTATAAATAGAGTGGTTGGTAAACATTTACTCAATTTGGCTTATCTCACTAAAATTTTAGGGAAATTACTTCTCTCTCTAAAAAAAAGCTAACTTGAGCGTTGGAGGATTAACGGGCCACGAGCCCCAGCTCTGTGTGTAGGTGATTCCACGAAGGCAAGGCGCACAGTGCAGAAGGGAAGACGGTAGATCGAGGAGGCTTTAACAGTACATGAGTAGGTTTTTGATATCATATATTCATATATATTCATCGACACTTCCTAGTCATTATGGGGATGATTATTATTTTTAAATAGTGACTGGGATTAGGGATGGCAATGGGGCGGGTTTGGGGCGGGTTTGCTTAAACCATCCCCATACCCATCTTCAAATACCCAAACCCATACCCGCCCCATACCCAGGCGGGGGAATGTTTTGCAAACTCATCCCCATACCCGTGGGTTTCGGGTACCCATGGGTAATACCCATACCCGTACATACAACATTATTATACCTAAAACTTAAAAGAAAAGTTCTAATTATAATTCTAAACGAACATATTATATCATGAAGTCAATAAAACACGGTCATTTTTTTAATATGGTTCAAAGATTATGATCCTAAAATATCCATTAATACATAATATAGAGTATAATATTTTTCAAATTATTATGTTCTAACTCTGATACATCTACTAAATAATAATTAATTAACATAATCTTGTTGACAAGGGGGAAAGTGAAAGAGTGAAATGAGAATTGAGAGAAATGAATTAGATTTTGATTAAGGTGGTTAATCAATTGCATTTCTACTATTTATTTTTCTCAAGTTATCCTCATCATCATTGATAGATTATAATTTGATGCACATATTTTTTTTTTTATATATGAAGAAATTATCTTGGTGGGGCGGGTATGGGGATGGGTATGGGGCGGGGGAGGCTAAAACCATACCCGCCTCATACCCATCAAACTTTTTGCGGGTTTTACCCATACCCGCCCCATACCCGGTCAAAGCGGGGATTCCCCGCGTTGACTGGGTCGGGGGCGGTCGGATACCCCGGCCATGGGTTTGATTGCCATCC